GCTAAAATGAAACAAAAACCCCTCCAATCCTTAAATGCCTTTGCCAAGGGAAAAGGAACACTAATCTCAAAAGTAAACAACTGTAAAAAGAAATGGAGGGATGGGGTGAATGAAGAAACAAACAGTGAGGGATTTAAGGGAGAAGGGAGAGAAAACCTACTGAGAGGAAAAATAGTTTAATAAAACCTGAGTCTGGAGCAAAGAACCAACACGCCTTGTCTGGGTAGAAGACTAAGTCGGAACTGGGCATGTGCGACCAGGCAAGAGGCGTGGCTATCTCAGACTTAGTCTTATTGGGTACAAGGGACTTCAGGAAACCCAATCATGTGGATTATCCATCCCTCATGCTGGAGAACTTGTTTGTATAAGCAACTTTTCAAGCCTCATTCAAGGAGATCATAAGCTGGCCTTGAATATTTTGGCACTTGAAGCAAAAATCTAACGTAAACAGTTGGGGTTACATGATAATCTCCTCAAGGTACTAAAGAGTGAGCTGGTTTATCACCCTGTTACACAAGGACATCAGAGTGGATCTGTTAATTTTTACAAAAACAAGCTTGTGAACTACTTTCAGAAGTAGTTATAGCTTTCAGAAGAGTGTAAACCTCTAGATGGGGGAACATTGCCCTAAGTCAAAATCTCCAGACTGGGGCTCTCTTAATCAGCTTCCTGCTTATTCAATGTTACTGGTGCCATTTATGGCAAGAAAGATAGTTGGAATTGACCTTGTTTGTGTATGTAAGCAAATGTTTTAACAATCTTTTCAGAGAAGTTAAAGAAAAAGCCCTGTCAGGTGCAGTTTCTCTAGGTCTAAAGCACTTCTGTTGGAGACAATTTGCACAGCCCATAGCTGTAGATGCACTCTGTGCAAGTTCCCCTCTAGCATGATCTGTAAGTGCTGTCGATCAAATGAGAAAATATTATGTGTCATAGGTTGCAAGGAGACAGAGTAGAATTGTAACATCCTTAGTTCATCTTCGACATTGCAAAACAAAGAAAACACATTTTCCTACTAGTGACTAACCACATCTTTATAGCTTCAGAAATGGAAATCACTTGTGAGGAAATTACATATGATCCACATGCTGCATTATAGATGACATATCCAGAACTGACTAGAAGGAACTATTCCTGCATCATTAAAGGGCAAGATGGAATTTAAGCTAATAGCCAATACATATTGTTTGTTTTAGCTATGTTCAATCTTATCACATATAAGATCCAAGGATTCTTCTCTATAGCTGCCAGAAATAAATCCTGGGCATACTTCAGTGTTTTAAAAATACAAACAACAGAATCCTACCAAGTAATCCACAATTCAGGCTGTTCAAACTTCCTTCCTTCCAGATATGGTAACTTCAGCTCCCTGCACATCATCAGGACGCAAGAAAAAAATGCACTAAATAACGCCCCATTTTATCTTAATTCATTTCAGTGCCTACTGTGTAAATCTCAGACCACAGATACAGAAATATCCAATACAATGTATACATATTTGCATTCAAAAGAAAGTCCTACTGACATCAGTAAAGCAATCTGACAATAATCCAGTATGCACAAGATCACAATTTTTAAAGGAAATCCAACACAATGTAAATAGGAAAAGGGCAATTCCTGGGCCCTTCCAAAATCCCTCCAGAGGGTGAGCCAGTCAAACTCTGGAGGTTATGACGTATATCCAGGGGAAAGGAGGAGTTGCCCAAAATAAGGGCATAATAATAGGAGTTCTTTAAACAAAGCTTCCACTACAGTCTTATAAAATAAAGCTAATAATACTTTATAACATCCCACTCCTCTGAAAGTGAGCAGGAGGAGGAAGGAAATAAATGCATGTTCTACACTCTTCCCTTCTACTCACAGAACACTTATTGTTATGCCTCATCTTCAGGGAATTGCATTTAAAAAAGAGGGAAGAGGAAAGACCTTGATATGTCCTTTATTTTTTTTAAAGTCATCGCTAGAGGATATTCATGATAAAAGGAGGTAGACCATGCTGCCACTACAAAAGCTTATCTTATTGATTTAAGGCACCGTTCAACCTGCTATTACACGTAGGTGACTCTGCATGTGTTAGCATACAAGACAAAAGATAGTTAAATCAACAAAGTGTTAATACTCTTTGATGATATCTGGAATTCTTTTGCTTATCTTGAGCAGTCATAAGAAAATCAAAACCCAAACTCAACAAGGTTGCAGACAGTGATATCCAGAAATCTCTGCCTTGCTCCCATTCAGTGTTGCTCCAAATAAGGTTATCCCTGGGGCAGGGTCAAAAAAAGACAAGTGGGCAAGCACCCATGGGATAAAGCCTTGTCCCTTCCTAATGTGTGCCACATTAGGGTGGACCTTCAATTGTGCAAATGATACCGCTGTGCACCAGCTTGACTTTTCTGATAAACACTCCACCCTGATGCCCCTGGCTCTGAGACAATCCTTTTGGCTGTCTTCAAGCCCTGTTGCCTTCAGTCCTCATATAACCTACCCCAAATGCCCAAAGGCCATACCTGACAGACACTGGGCTGGGGAAGGCTGGCTTAATAAAGCAACCACATTTGACTCACTGGACTTAAGAAGAATTTCAGGAATTAAGAACTGTTAAGCAATGGATCAGCCTATCCTAGATCATCAGTGGGCTTCCTCTTGCTGGAGGTTTTCAAATGTAATCCTGCACTCAGCACTGAGTTGACTTATAAGATCCGTTCAAATTGTTAAATTCCATGATTCTGTGTAATACTTACTACATCTTCCAGGTGCCAATATTTGGGATTAAATTTGTCTTCCTGTGTATTTTAGTTATTTAATTATATTTACCAACCACTTTCTTACTTGTATCAGCATTTATGGTAGCTACAACTAAATAAACAAAAATATAAAAATTTAAAAGATAAAAATCGATGCAATTAAAATCAGGTATAATAGCTTCCACGTTGCTGTAACAAACGAACAAATAAACTTGCTCCCTTATCAAAGTGCACCTGCCCCTGGTTCCAACAAGCCAACAAAACCTTCCTTGGGGAATGAAGCAAGACATCTTATTCTTTCTCCTTATTCCCATTTTCAACTTTATTGTGACTGGCTTTTTGGTCCAGCTCACGGTCAACCTTTCTGGCAGCGCGTGTGCTTGATACTCTCCCTTGGTATTTGCCAGGGTCTAAGGAACAAAAGCCGTCACCTTTTCTGCTTCTTCTCGACTCATTGCCAGGGCAAGCTGGAGCTGGAGCTCCTCTTCACCAGTAGTCTGTGGCCTTGCCTGCTCCAGGTCAGAGCTGAACCGAGGAGATGATGAAGAAGCTGAAGCCAAAGACAAAAAAAAAAAAACCAATTAGGAGGGCAAGTAGAATGAAAGCCATCCAAAATATGCTCTGAAAGAAAGCCCAGTTGGTTCTACAGTGCTTTCTCAGAAAATCGGTGCACAGTCATTGGTGATTAGGTTAGCTACAGAAGCTCCCCTATAAGTTATCAGTTAATTATTAATAACAATTTATTAAATATACATGCCACCCAACTCTCAGTGACTCTTGAGTTGTCTAGCATGAGCACTCTGAATCCTGCCTCACTGAACAGAGAGAAAGATGGAGAGAGAGAGACAGGCTAAGACAGTGGTTCTCAACCTTTTTAATGCCGCGACCCCAACCGGTCGTAAGTCGAGGACTAAACCTGTCGTAAGTCGAGGACTAAACCGGTCGTAAGTCGAGGACTAAACCGGTCGTAAGTCAAGGACTACCCAACCGGTCGTAAGTCGAGGACTTTCCCTGCCCGGGAGCGCCACGCATGCGTGGTTCTGCCCCCTGCGCCGGCCAAGGCGTAGCTGGCAAGCGGCAGAGACGGAGCAGGCCGACCACCAGCTGGCCCAGCTCAAGGGAGGTAAGGCACCCGCCGGAAAAGGGGGAAAAAAATGGCGTACAAAAAAAATGGCGTACAGCCTTGCTTGGCGACCCCATGAAATGGTCGATCGACCCCAAATGGGGTCCTGACCCACAGGTTGAGAACCACTGGGCTAAGAGAAAGAAGAGTGGGAGACAGAGGATTGAAAGATGGATGGTCACAAGAGTCTATGGAGATTCTCAATCATAGTTATCCGAAATGTGCTTTTTCATGAGGCAACTGGACTTTCTTGGTTTTCTTTGAAGACATTTTGCTTCTCATCCAAGAAGCTGAAGAAGAATATTTTTCTTCAAAGAAATGCTGCCCTCGAGAGAAAAACAGTCCTCCGTTCTGTCCTAAAAATGTTTTTTTCAATTATCTCTTTCTGTGCTGATGGTTGTCTCCATTTTCTGCCTACCAACCTTCTGTGTTTTAATTTCATATGATGTCCAACAGTCGAAGGCTATGACTAACCCACATGCGTTGGGGGGAAAAAATGAAGTTACATTTTATTTTGAAAACTCCAATCCACTTGTGTTTCTATAGCAACATTTTCCTTGAGTTTGGTGTGAGGAACAAAAAACAAAGTACATTGGTACCGCTGCACGAAGGTTCGAATCAGTGGCATGTGCAGGGTGTTGCTGGTGTTTTCAGCAGGGTTATAGGGTCAGAGCACAAGCCCTACTCCTTTGGGTCATACTCGTGATGTTGTGAGGCACATAGAAAAAACACCAGCCTTTGCTACAATGCTGAGGTTTAGTTAGTCTAATCCCCTTTCCCCAACCACACAGATGACACTGTTCCTAAAATTCTGTCAGGAACTGTGTAGGATTTAAGGCCCATATGCCTAAAAATGTGTTCTCCTAGGCTCAAAGGATGGAGTTTTTTTCAACATCTGGCATGCTAATACTGCTAGTGCTATTTTTTCCCCCACATCCACATCAAAGTCATTGAATTAAAATGCAATTCTCTGTTAATTTATTCAGATGGCAACCCCACTTCTAAGGGCTTTCTTCTAGTCATGTACTTTTACCTCAGAAGCCTCACTGAATATATTCACAATAACTTCTAAACAAAAAAAATATGTTAATAACAGCCACTCAAGGAATCTAGGAACTCAGACATTTCAATATCCACAATTTTCTATAAGATGCATGGTAGAAGTGGTTAATTATAAAACTGATGGTTTTGTACACTATATAGAAATATTGAGCACTAAAGTGGCATTTTTAAAAATTAAACTTTTTGCAAGCTTACTACTTACTTAGCTTGCAAAAATTCAACAACTGCAATCCTGCAAGATGAATATGCCCTTGCTTATTTTAATGACTACATCCGCATCTGCTCAAATTCACTGTTCTGAATGTCTTGTTTATTTTTCAATTAATAACACTGTACAGTACTGGAATGTACAGCCTTTTTGAGTGGCAGTGGTGTTGCAAGGATTAAAGTCATGGCCCAGGCCTTTACTTCAAGCCCAGCATCACCACTGCCTCCAAGTGCTGCTGTTCGGGGTGGTCTAGATGGGGGAAGGGGGGCGTAGGAGATGCTTCTCTTTTGTTCAAGAAGGTGTGACACACCAGCAGAATCAAGTTAGGCCTTTTCTAAATTTTTGACACGCCGAGCCCAAAAGGTTCGTCATCACTGCCCTAGATATATAGAATTCTCAGCAAACCAAGCTAACACAAGGGGTAAAGGATGGTAAAAGTTGCTGGAAATCTTAAGTTATATACTACCTAGATCAGTGGTTCTCAACCTGTGGGTTGGGACCCCATTTGGGGTCGATCGACCATTTCACGGGGGTCGCCAAGCAAGGCTGTCCGCCATTTTTTTTGTCCGCCATTTTTTCCCCCTTTTCCGGCAGGTGCCTTACCTCCCTTGGGCTGGGCCAGCTGGTGGTCGGCCTGCTCCATCTCTGCCGCTTGCCAGCTACGCCTCGGCCAGCGCAGGGGGCGGAACCACGCATGCGCGGCGCTCCCGGGCAGGGAAAGTCCTCGACTTACGACCGGTTGGGTAGTCCTCAATTTACGACCGGTTTAGTCCTCAACTTACGACCGGTTTAGTCCTCGACCTACGACCGGTTGGGGTCGCGGCATTAAAAAGGTTGAGAACCACTGACCTAGATAGCCATGTACTCTTCTTATGATTTGGCCTTCTGAAAGCTTTCAAAAAGGCAAAATGATAGGGCTGTACACCATGATGCTTCCCTATTCAATCTTATATTCTCTATGTGATCCAGAGAGCTTCAAGTGGAAATATATGTAACTTTGTTCCGCTAAATATACTTTTAGATTCTTACAGGATCAGGGAATCCAACTTATTAGGATTTATCTAGGATTCTTTGATTGCATTCAACTGAATGAAACTACACTTTATATCAAGGTTGTAAAAGCAATGTAAAGACTTATAAAAATTCTGCTTAATGATAGTAGAAACAGTGAAGGTTTGGCTGTAGATTCATAAAGGACACTGGGGGAAATGTCAAGGAATAAAGGAAATCTACATACTTGGAACAGTTTCTATCTATGGGCCTTTTGAATCTGTGCCCATTCCTACTATCAGCAATCTGTGTCCCTCAAATATTACTTAGTACTTGCCAGGTTTCATTTCTCAAGCTCCATTGCAATAAATGATAGAAATTTGGAAACATTTCAGTTAGTGTTGCAAACAATTACTTCCAAAAGCATATGCTTTTATCTTTACATTACAGTGTATTGCAACTGCTGGTCAAGATGTCCATGAACTTTACTACAGGATCACCAGCCCCCATGAAAGCATTCACAAATTAGATTATACATTTTCAAGGTTTGTTTGTTTTTTTTTTGCCAAAGATGACTTGATCTGTCGGAGAAAAGGTGGCACAGCCACATACCATTGCAGTACTCACAATTAAAGGAGGATGGAGAACCTCTTGATCTGCTGTAGTCATCGCCATACTGTGATGCCCGCCGTCCATAGGTCAGCTGGTGGCTGTTGCTGTTGCTGCTGCTAATGCCCATACCTTCAATGGACATCCGTTCTTTGGTTTTCAAGGCATAGGTTCTCTCCTGCTTCAGCCTCTCTTCATCCTTCAGCAAGCTCATCACCTGCTTCACTTTTTCACGAACGTTGATGCCTTGATCTTTGCCATCACGGTCGATGTACTGAAACTCCTTTAAAGTCTGAATGGTATACAGATTCTCACGGCACTGATGAGCCACCTTCTCTGAGCCTGTTTTAATGAGGTAGTCTAGAAGAGTCAGGGCCTTGTAGACATGACGCCAGTTCTTGCCACTGTCATTCAGCCGTCTCCAGATCATACCCATGACCTCGGCAAAAGCCACTGTGTTGAAGGTCAGGTCAGCAATCTCAGACATTAAAGAGCTGGGGGGTCCCCAGGGATCATTGGAGGTGGCCTCACGCACCTTGATTTCTGCCTCAGAATAATTGTGCACAATGTTTTTCACCTGTCGACGCAAGGCAGAGGTCGTCATGGCTGAACCTGAAAAAAGACCTCACCTTGCAGAAAGAAATGATCCAAAGAAGAAAACTTGAGAGGCCCCAGGGAAGAATCAAAGCTTCAGAGTGATTGGTTAAGAAGTGCTAATTCTTCAGTTTCTACAATGAGCTAGAAAACAAATAATGGAAACTCTATTAAAATTATTATTCAGTTCAGCCATTTTAGCTGATCAGTTGTTTTATTCTATCCAGTCAGGGGGAAAAATGCATTTCTTCCTTTCTATCCCTCACCCTCTGCTCAATTTTTCTATTTTATGTTATTTCTTCAAAACCTAGAGCCGTTCCAGATAGTTCTAAGCCAGCCATGAGTTATTCAGCTAGAGTATTTGGGTAAAATTTATATAAGAAACTCCTTTAGTTCCTGAAATACTTCTATGCTAATTTTTTTCTGAGTACAATTACGGCATGGTGGACATATTGCAGTGCCATCTAAATTTACTTTTGTCACGTTGAGGGTCATACAGTACACCAAAAATGTGGGACCAAGCGCTGCGGTTATGGAGAGATTTGAAGGGTTTTAAAGAGGAAATGAATGTTTTAAGCCTCTGCATTTCTTCTACCTTTTATCTCCACCCAGTAAAAACCTTCAAAAATGCATGGTTAAAAAGTAAATAGGCAGCCTATGTTAGTTTTGGTAATATATTATCTCATGATTATGGGTTTTTTTTAACACCCAGTCTTTTCCCCAAGAGCTTATCTTAATTCACATGGTGGTCTCTCCTTCCTCCCCATAACAGTCCTACATGGTGGGCTGAGAAAAAGAAATGTTCACAGTTATCCAAGGAACTTCAAGATTGAGTAAATGAGGATGCAAATCTAGATGTCACCAGCCCAAATTCAGCCCCTTAGCCACTATGTTATCATGGCCTTCAGCCTGGTGGGCCATATTATTATAGAACTGTATTTCATGAGCAACTATAGTGGGAAAAATCTTTCTGAAAGAAGATAAGAAAATAGCAAGTCCTTGATGTTACAGAAATACATATCAGGAAATCCTGGACTGTGTACCTCAACAAGGTCAAGTACTGTATAAGCAGTGATATGCTGAAGCCAGCCCATACTAGTTCATGAAAGCCAATGGTTATATTTTTTTGGAATTTTGCAAGTCATGTGGATCAGTTATTTGGTGGCTAGCAAGATAGGGAAGTGGCAGCAATGGACCAGAACTGGTTGTTATACATTTATTGGCACATCATTGTACTGTACATAACAGCTTTCTTTCATAGTAGGCAGTCTTAGAAAGAATAATTATATTATCCACCAAAAGAGATCTACGTGCCAAACTAAGGATCCATCTGTGCAAAGAGCAGGCTGTGAATAAACACTGCCATTTACAGTATGATCAAGGTCTCACTGAAATGATTGAACACATTTCTGCTTCAAATAGGAATGCCAATCTTTATCTGAAGCCCTTTCTTCATATTGTGAAAGCTGGATGAAAGCATTTTATGTTTTTCTACTTTAGGTTTTTCTGAGTAAGGTGGATAAGATACCCTAAATCATTTGGAATCAGGTTTACAGGTAGTTAATAGACATCACACCAAATCATGCCAAACCAATCTTATCTCATTCTTTGATAAAGTGACCAAACTAGTATACCAGTGAAATGCAGTGGACATAGTATACCTAAATTTCAGTAAGGCATTTGACAAAGTGGACCACAACCCACTCCTTGGTAAGCTAGAAAAAGGTGGAATAGACAACATCACTACCAAATGGATCTGTAGCTGGCTGACAAACCATACTCAACAAGTAGTCCTCAACGTCACTACATCCACATGGAGAGAAATAAGCAGTGGGATACCACAAGGTTCCATTTTAGGCCCAGTACTCTTCAACATCTTCATAAATGACTTAGATGAGGGAATGGAAGAGGAACTCATCAAATTTGCAGATGACACCAAACTATCAGGAATAGCCAACACTCCAGAAGACAAACTCTGGATCCAAAAAGATCTTGAGAAAGTCGAACAATGGGCCCTATCCAACAAAATGAGTTTCAACGTGGAGAAAAGCAAAGTCTATACTTAGGCAGGAAAAACCAAAGGCACGAATACAGATTGGGCGAGACCTGGCTTAAAAACAGTAACTGTGAGAGGGACCTTGAGTCCTAGTGGATGATCACTTGACTATGAGCCAGCAGTGTGCAGCAGCAACCAAAAAAGCTAATACAATCCTGGGTTGTATAAACAGAGGCATAGAACCAAGCTCACACAAAGTACTAGCACCGCTTACAAAGCCCTAGTAAGACCACACCTGGAATATTGTAGCCAATTCTGGTCACCATATCACAAAAAAGATGTTGAGGGTTTGGAAAAAATTCAGAGAAGAGCAACTAGGATGATCAAAGGCCTGGAGGCTAAAACATACAAAGAACAGCTGCAAGACTTGGGTTTGGCTAGTCTAAAGAAAAGAAGAAACAGGAGACATGATAGCGGTGTTTCAGTATCTGAGCGGCTGCCACAAGGCAGAAGGGGTCAGGTTGTTCACCAGAACACCAGAGGGAAGGACAAGAAACAATGGCTGGAAAGTGATCAAGGAAAGAAGCAACCTGGATCTAAGGAGAAACTTCCTGACAGTGAGGACAATCAACCAGTGGAACAGCTTACCCCCAGAAATCGTGGGCGCTCCATCACTGGAAATTTTTAAGAAGAGACTGGACAATCATCTGTCAGAGAGGGTATAGGTTCTCCTGCTTGAGCAGGGGGCTGGACTAGAAGACCTCCAAGGTCCCTTCCAGCTCTATTCTATTCTATTCTATTCATTTGGCATCTATATAATTCAACATAGCACACATGTTGTGAGTATATATTTCATGATACTTGTTTTACTTTACAAATCTACAGTATCTGAGAACAAAACAAAAACATATATTCATATTTCCTTAATGTAAAACAAAAATGAATTATAATTTACAAAAACAAGATAATATTTTAAACTCATCATCTTTTATTGATAAAAGGGCTAAATTTACTATGGACATTTTTCAAATAAGAAGACAGATGAGTGAGAAAAGGTTTTTTTTTTTTTAACCTTTCCTCACTGGTCAAGGTCAAACTTCCCTATATATTCTACAGTTCTCAGCTTTCATCAAGCAGCTGTAGGACATGGAACTATGGAAGGCTGTATTAAATGTCTTACTAGCCTGGCACATTTTTACTTGACCTAGTAAAATACATAAGAATTACATCTAAATACTATAGGGTAAAAGGAATCATATTCCCCATTTTTGTCTTCGAGTTAGCTCTACTGTAATTTGATTACTTTCTCTGTATCTCTGACTTCTGAATATCCATTAAAATAAAAACTTCAGTTGCCATTTGTCATTTCTTTCAAGCTACATGACTCAATAGATAGAGATGATAACTGTGCAGCTCCCCCCCTAACACACACACACACATACAAGCACATATATATTGGGACATGCTACCTATTGAATTTTATGGAAATCAACAATGAGATCATGAATTCATACAAGCATCGTTGTAATGGAAGTGACAGGAGATTCTGTACCACTGCCAATAACTCAGCCTTACTGAAAAACGTATCCTTAGGTTTTCCCAACTGCTAAATTTCAAGTGTTTTTCGGTGTATTTGAATCCTGTTAAAATAAAACACTAAATGATGCACAATATAACCAAAAGCATGTTAAACCCTCACATACCAGCAATAAGATAAAATCAGTTAATACACATAATCAAATTAAGAATGGCACTGATGTTCATTTCCAAAACTTTGTTAGAACAGCCAAATCTTGAGTAGTTTCATGAAGTTTACCAGGGTCATATATCTCAGGTGAGAACTTATTTCACAATATCAGAGCAGCAATAAAGAAGTGCTGCTTCTGAGCACTCTTCATATCCCCACCCAAGGATACATAGATTTTTATATGCACATGCATGCATTAGATGTCCTAAGCAAGGATTGATAGCTTTGTCCCTTTTTTTTCAAAGTTATAGGTCAGTGGTGGCGAACCTATGGCACGCGTGCCAGAGGCGGCACTCAGAGCCCTCTCTGTGGGCACGCGCGCCATGCCCCGGAGATGGCAACCGTCCCTCTTCAACCAGCCGCCTGCTAACTCACCGAGGTCCTACATGGCCGGATGCATCCCAGCACCCATGCGCTCGCTGGCCTCTGTGTGCAGGGGCCAATGGTGTCAGGCAGCAGCCGCCCTGGCCCCTGCCTCACCTTGCCCTGTGACAATGGCACCTCCGCCCTGCCTCGCCTTACCCTGCAGAAAGAGCCTCCTGCCCACCGCCCCACCTGCCAGAGACCCCCTGGATCTCCTCCAACCCTGCCCGGCCCCCACAGGCATCCCACCCCACGAGCAACATCAAGGTGATCATGCCCACCTTGGCCACACCCACCCAATCTGCCATGACCACCACAGCCACGCCCACCCAGTGGGCCACGCCCACCTGGCACCCAGCAATAAATGTGGGGTTTGGGTTGCAGTTTGGCCACTCGGTCTCTAAAAGGTTCGCCACCACTGCTATAGGCAAAGACATTCTCTCTTTTCTACCTCTTGTTTCTAGAGCTTAATACATTGGATGTGAAGAACCATTCAGTTGTTGCTGCTTGAAGAAGGTGCTAAGTAAACATACTGGGGTTCTTGGATTTTTTTAAAAAAAGCAAAATAGATGTACTAAGCTCCCAGTAAATGTGATGGATTTATTTTATTTTTTAACAAATCTAAAAGGCCTGCACAGGAAAAACTGAAAATTCCAGTTTCACGCTGTCT